ATTCCCTTCATCACTTTCCCATCCTTTTCATCTTTAACTTCCTTTCTAAACATACTCAATGCTTAATTATTATTTAATTATTTCTTTTTCGTTTATTTTTTTAAAACATTATGATACAAATATTATTATTATTATTATTATTAGGGTTAAATATGTTTTTAGTTCCTAAACTATTGGCGGTTTCTGGTTTTCGTCCCTCTTTCAAAATAAGGTACAAGTTGGTCATCATTCTTTTCGAAACTCTAGTTTTAGTCCTCGAAACTTTGATTTTAGTCTTCGAAAACTACTACATTTTTAACGGTGTTAATTTTCGAAAACTAAAATCAAAATTAAAAAAAAAATGAGAACCAAATTATACCTTATTTTAAAAAGTGACAAAAACAAAAAAAAATCAACAATTTAATAACTAAAAATATATTTAACTAGTATTATTATTATTATCATCGTCCTCATCGTCTTAAAAAAGACTGTACATCAAATGCTGCTAGGGCATTTGTGACTTTCAGGAAATGTTTCGGTTCAATTATTGCAGCGTGACATTATGAATATAATTATAATATTTAACAGGCCGAGTTTATCCAAATCACTGTTCATTCTTTGACAGGTGCCTTTGCTTATATATTATTAATAATAATTAATCTAAAAAGTTATCTCTTCTACTGTTGGAAAAAAGACAAAGGACTTCCATGACTAAACAAATAACTTGTGCTATTAATGGAATAATTAAATTATGTTATTTTTAATATTTTTTATTTTTTAAAATGGTAACATCCGATTTAATAAGTACTAACTTAAATTATTAAAAATTAAGTATTAAGTAACAGACAATTACTTAAACATATATATAATATGTATTTACAGTACTTTATAAATATTTCAACGATACAACTTTCAAAATATATATAAAGTGTTATTTAAATAAAAGAGCATTTATAAAATACAATGCAAATATATATATATATATATATATTCATTTTAACATTTAGTTCAAAAACTCACACCAAAACTTTATATTTGATAAAAAACACATACTACACCACTAGTTTCATTCTCCTCCACCTTTGCATATGATTTGCAATTATTTTTTTCTTTCAATTGAGTCATCCATAAATAATACTGATTTTTTTTTACATTTAATAAAACTTTACATTTTACTTTTGGTCTTCCATACTTTTTACATTTTGTTTTTTGGTTTTCAATAAATTTTTCTTATTTTAGTTTTAATTTTAATTGTGATTCTTATTTCCCGTCTAAATATAGTTTTTAAAACATGTTTCATAGAACTTATAATAAATCCCAAACTGATAACGATGATTCGTTTCATCAGTTACACGTATAATGAAATAAATTTGAAAGATATTTATTATTTAGAAATTTAGCAATATTAATTAAATAATTAAAATATAACCGTTATCATTATTACTTTGCTATTAAAATTAAAAAATATATATATTTCTACCGCTATTAATGGTATAATTTTTTTCTTTCATAATTTAGTAAAAAATAAATAGATATTGAAATGCAGTGACATTTTTTTTTTAAATTATTTGTTTAATTAAAACAAAAATTTAGACTGAAGAATAAATAATATGATTAAATATTTTTTAGTTTGTGAAGTTAGAATTTATTTTATTTAAAATTTTAATATATTTTAATTTTTAAACTTTAAAGTAAATAGATGTAGTTTTTTTATGAATTTTTTAATTGATATTGACGTAATTGAATAAAAAGACTTGTATTCGTTTTTAAAATTTGAAAAAAAAAAATTATATATGAAATTTTTATGGCATGATAAATTTTAATTTTATTTTAAAGTTTAGTTAAAAAGTATATTTAATTCTAAATAATATTATTAGTGTTTTTGCATGTGTCATATAAGTCTTCTATAAGACTCTTTGATGATTAGTGGTTCTAAGAGTATATTCTAATCATGTTATCGTGAGTTATAAGTACATATAGAGTTCTTTAAGTTAATAGAGTCGTCTTAGCTCTTGTAGAGTAGTTGGGCTGGATCCTCAGTGAGTTAAGAGAAGCTAACTACTAAATTTTGTTGTTATTAATGTTTTGTTAACTTATGTTGCATGCTTGATTTGATTAGAATTTGATAAAGGAAAATGATACTTGAACAACCATTTTTGACAACATTTAGACACGTGTTTTCGTGTCTAAATGTTGTCAAAAATGGTTGTTCAAGTGTCATTTTCCTTTGATAAATTGGTATGTAAAGTTGTTGATGTGAAATATGTTGAACGTGTGTTTGTTCGATTATAGAATTTGTGGTATAATATGTTAAATTTTGTTGTGATTGTCCATTGAATAATTTTAAGGTTGATGGTATGAGTTTGTGCAAATTAGGACTTAGTTAGATATTGATCTTGCTTGGTTTTGGTCTAAAAGTGTTGGTTTGACAGATGAATTTTTATAAGGAGTGTTGTTTGAGTGAATTGAATGTTGGTGGTCTTTGTTAGTGGTATTTAGGACTTAAGTAGCTTCTTAGTTCACTAAAACGTGGTATGTGATATGAGAAATAAGAATGTATGAGTTTTGAGCTGTTAGTTTGGTCTGATGGATCTTGTTTGTGGACAATTAATCAAATTGGTATGCAATTTGAGTTATAAAATGTTTTTGAAACAATTATAGTGTCTAAAATACCAATTTGGTCATTTGGATAGGTCTTTAGTGTAAGAGAATGAGTTTTGGAGTGTGTTGTCTTTTGGTATAGCGTTGAGCGACCTTATGTGACGATGAGCACAACGAAACCCGAGAACTATAGGCTTCAAAACGTTGAGTGCCACCCTAGTCGTTGAATGCCACAAAGTTAGTAAGATGTCTGGCTTCTAGACATTGAGCTCTGGACTAGGGCATTGAGCGCCAATTCTCTACTGTAGGTATGAGTTTTTATTTAGTCTAGTACAAGACATTTGTTTTGGGTTTTCTTTTAAGCTTTCTAACTTTAAGAAGTTGTTTTTGTTTAGATTGTTTTACATGGTGTTGAATATTTTGGCAAGCGTATCAATAGTCAATTGTAGTATAATGATTTTTAAGTAAGAATATCGATCCCACGAGTAACAACTTCAATTAAATAGATAAATTTATCTCAAACAACATATATACAAGGGTATTCAATCTAATTCACAATGGATTTTGATAATTTATACTACGTAGCATAAAATTAAAATAGTAATAACAGATAAGTTAAAGAAAGTTTATCTCACTCGTCTGCAATCTGAATGAATATAAATATATAGCAACTGAAACTACCAATATCGATGCAACACACAAAAGTCATTTATATTGATTTCTCGCGTATAAAATTCATAAGATCAGTTCCTTGAATTTTGATTCCTCACATATCCAACAAACTGTCCAGCATTACATTCAAGTGTTATAAGCAATTGATAAACTGAAATCTATCCTTAGCATCACATGATATCAAGTATTCTTGTTTAGATCATATTTTAGAAATACTTTCCAGTCATGTCTAAAACCCACATTCATAAAACTATTGATCAGATAGAATCAAGCACTAAGAGTAGAACAAAAATACCAATATTGAATAAAAACAAATGCTATATATAAATATCACCATATTACATCTGAGTTCGAATCGATTACATTCAACCTCAAGAGAAAATATTAGCCACTCATGGTAGCCATTAGCATTTTAAGAGATGAAGAAGAAGATCCTACAGCTAAAGTGGAAGAACAACTCTTTGGATAACTTTGTGATATTTTTCTTCGCCGCTCTCTTCGTTCCCCTTTCTTTTTGACTCGTGAGTATATATATTGTGCGAATTCTCGCTTAAGCTAGATGATTATTGCTTAAGCGAGAAGAAACTTCCTAGAGAAGATAGGTCATTCTCGCTTAAGCTAAATTATTCTCGCTTAAGCAAGAATGACTTTTAAATTAATTGCTTCCTGGACAAGTCTTGCTTAAGCGAGATCATTCTAGCTTGGACGAATTGTTGTAGGATTTACTCTTCTCCCTTTTTTCTTCTTTCTTAATTTACCTGGAACATATACAAAATAGGGATGAAATGATTTCCTTTTAATCAACAACTTGGAAACATATGATTACATTTCATTTTTCTTAGATTGGGGAGAATTGATACAAATGTACACAATTTAAAACAAAAGTGCCAAAATTTCATATGAAAATTTACTACTTTTTTGCACTTATCACATTGATTAATCAAATGAATGTGGATATTACTGGTTGATATTGTTGGAAATCCAAGTGTGAGTCTAAGTTCCACATTGGATAGAAATGAGAAAGTATATCACTATATAGAGGTGAAAGACCCTTTAACTCGTTGCCTTAAGGTTTTGGATAGAGAGTGATGTTAATGTCTTATATGATTAGATTCATATCTCATTAGTATTGTGTCTCCCTTGTAAACCTCTTCTTTGATAAATCCAACTCTGATATCAGAGTCGATGAAAATAGAATGAGATCTTTTGATTTACGTGTATTGATTAGCTCTTAAGGATGTGTCTAATCATTACACATTTAAATGTATTGTTTATAATTTAATAATATTTTTAATAAATGAGTGACATTAAATTATATTTAAAAAAATAATATTTTACAATTATAATTTAATATAAATGATTATTTTGGCTGTGAATATGTAAGTCACAATTTAGTCCTAAAAGAATAATTTGGTTGATGCTTCTAAAAAGTTTAAATAATGACATTTTTATATCAATTTATTGATAGAATAAAGTGTTCAAAGGTCAATTTAATCTTAAATAGTATTTTATATATTTAATGAACAGAAAATTACACAATATGAATGATTACTATATTTTTTACACGATTAAATATGAATTTAAAATTTGGTTGTTTAATAGACTAAAGTGTTTATTTATATTATATAGAAGACTGGGAATTAAAAATAATAATTTACTACTTTAACTTAATAGTTTTAGAAGAAGAAGAAAAGAATGGTAAGAAAGAAAGCGCGCGTGAGAGAAGAAAGCGCGTAGTTGAGAAAACTTGCAAATGTCGCCACTATGACCCCATCATCGCTCTCCTGCTAGAACTCAACCCACTGAGAGACAGGGAGAGAGAGAGAAGCCGCCGTTTCTTCCATTCTCCGCCAAACATTCAACCACCGCTAACAACCATCCAACAACTACAATCAAATTCAATTGAATTCAATTCAATTAGGGTTCCCATTTCTTACCCTCTCCATGGAACCCCAACAATCTCTCCCTCCCATGGACGATTCCGAAGACCCTTCCTCCACTTGGGACTTCTCCTACCTTCTAGACTTCAACCTCGACGAAGACCACACCGATAATTCTCTCCCATTCTCTTCTCTCTTCAACGACGCTCCCGAGATCCCTAACGACCGGGTCCGAAAGCGTGATCCCCGACTCACCTGCTCCAACTTTCTCGCGGGTCAGGTCCCCTGCGCCTGCCCCGAACTTGACGCCAAACTCGAGGATGAGGGTTTGCCTGGCAAGAAACGCGCGCGCACTGCTCGTGCCTCCTCATCCGCTCGATGCCAGGTCCCTGGTTGTGAGGTCGATATCTCCGAACTCAAAGGCTATCACCGCCGACACAGTGTCTGCCTCCGCTGCGCCAATGCCACCACTGTTGTCCTCCACGGCGAGCCCAAGAGATACTGCCAGCAGTGCGGGAAGTGCGATCTCCTTTCCTTCACTCTCTTCGCCGTCGTTTGATTCAATTACCTCGCTCCGTAGTTAGTTATATCGTTTGAGATGCGCTTTTATTGAATGTTAGTCACGCGATTGTGTAGTCTGTGTTGTCGTTTTGACGGTCAACGCTTCGCAGGTTTCATGTTTTGTCGGATTTCGATGAAGGGAAACGAAGTTGCAGAAGGAAGTTAGAACGGCATAACACGCGAAGGCGGAGAAAGCCCCTGGTGGAATCGGGAGGTGGTGCTATCGCCGAACTTGAGGCCGTTACTCAGAATGAGGAAAACAATTATGATGCGGTAGCAGGAAAAGGTTTATGTTCTGTATTACAGTGCCCTGTTAATGGTTTCATTTGTTTTTTTTTTTTCCTTTTTTCTCTCTCTTCATATTGCTTGTAATTTTATATTTTGTTACTGGGAAGTAGGAACTATAAAAGACCATCTTTGAATAAACCTCTCTGTAACCGCTTTCAGGAAATAAAATAATAAAATTAGTTATTCTGTAAGCAAAAACTAGTCTGTACATAAGTTTAAAATCATATAGGCTGTGTAACAAGAATACTGTGTTAAGAATGCTCATTGGCTGTGTAATTGTGCGTGCATCCCACAGATTGTTCAAATTTGAGTAATGAGATCAACGACATAGTAGTGTTGCCAGATCATGGAGAGGAACCTGTTCCCATTCTGGTATCAGCTCCTGATGCCCAGAATGTTAACAGTGACAGCGTTGTGTCTTTGCCTGTTTCTGGTGAAACTCGAGTGAATAGTGGGAACACTTCTAATTCGCCTTCTTATTGTGACAATAAGAGTGCCTACACGTCTATGGTGGGTTGCCCTTCTTGTTTATGTTTTTGTTCCAAATGTATGTTAGTACATGGAATAATTGTTGTTAACTTTTACTGATTGAAAGTTCACTTGTAGTGCCAAACAGGTCGGATTTCTTTTAAGCTTTATGATTGGAATCCAGCAGAGTTTCCTAGAAGGCTACGACACCAAGTATATTAAAGCATTGTTATTGCAGTTTAGTATTTGAATAGTGGCAAGTCCTTCTGTTGTATACGTCTTAGTAACTGATTAACAGGCTGCCAAATGCATTTGCAGATATTCCAATGGTTGGCAAGTATGCCTGTGGAGTTGGAGGGTTATATCCGCCCTGGGTGCACCATTTTGACAAGTTTTATTGCAATGCCTAACATTATGTGGATAAATGTAAGGGCTCACCTTGATGTTCTTTTCATTATGTTTTTTTGTGTTGTGTTTAAGTGGTCTTGTTATGGGTTACTTGCCTCAATATTGGACTGATTAACTGTATGATTCTTTATTCAGCTTTCTGGACAGTTTTTGCTAAGTTTACTGATTGAGATGTATTTGTGCTTTAATTTACCATATACTATCTGATACATACTCTCTCTTTTAATTTGAAAACTCTAGAATTGTACAATTCAACTGAAAAATTAAGAAGATTTGTCACCCCTCAGTTTTAAAGTTTTCAGGAATTTTATTTTTTAATTTGTTTTTAATGTTTTCTAATTTCATTTTTTTTCTGGTGTTGTGGATCAACCAGTTACGGAAAGAATCATTGGAACATGTGAACAAACTTGTTGCCCCGGGAAATATGCTATCTGGAAGAGGGACTGCACTAGTTCATCTTAATGACATAGTCTTCCGTGTTATGAAAGGTTTGTGTTCTTTCTTTTGTTCACTATGTATGCATGGTTTTTTTTATATAGCTTCTTCTTGGTTCATTATCTTTCGTATTTTATAACCTGATCCTTATTTCAATACTGAGGGTTTTGTAGGTATTTACTCTCCATCTTGCAGATTTTCATTACTCTTCTAATTTTTCCAAAACAAATTAAATTATACCTAGTTTCTTTTGGGTTAGTTTATAAGTTTCTTAATTTTTCATGGTCTGTTTGTTTATTTAGTTAGGTTTTTGATCTATTGATGTATGTAAATTTTATTGCTTTATGTTTTGTAATATACTGGAACACATCGTATCATATCTAGTCAATATCAATTTCCATATATTCAGTCTTTGTTATTTTTGTTCTCCCTCATGAGCTATATCATTTCAACAAGCACATTTCAATGGTTACAGATGGAACCTCTGTGACGAAAGTCGAGGTTAACTTGCAGGCACCTAGGCTTCATTATGTTCACCCTACATGCTTTGAGGCTGGCAAACCTATGGAGTTTGTTGCTTGTGGAAGTAACTTACTGCAGCCTAAATTCCAGTATGTAATGGCAGCCTCTGCTAATAATTTTAATAAGTTTTCATTGCACATAATTGAGCATGTTGGTCTACATCTGTGCTAGTTAAGTTTAGTCTAGTTTTCAACCAAATCCAATTAAAAATTATTGGGTTGGGTTTGTCTGTTTTTATTTTGGCAACAACTATATTTGAGTTGGATTAGGTTATGTCATCGACTTGAGTAATTAAAAAATATTGTTATCTTTTTAACTCTTAATAAAAAGTACCTTGAAATCAATATTTTTAATATTATAAGGCATCAACAATGCTTAAAACATAAATATATTTTATAAACAGTAATTCTTGAGATACTAAGATATTAAAACAATACTCATAAATTCAATTTAGAATTCAGTTAATCAGGTCCTATGAGAGGATGTAAGAAATGGAATATTTATTCTAATAGCATATGTGATATGAAATGTTTACTCATAATATTCATTTGATCAACCATAAAATCTTTTTTTTTTTGTGTAGTATGGCTACTATACAAATAATATTTTTAGTATTCATTTACTATGTAATTGGATTGGGTTGAGTTCACAAGTTTGAAATTCATAAATTTCTTACCTTACCCAAGTTTAAATGGGTGAACTAAATGATACCTAACCCTCAAAATTATAATTCGATAGGATTGGGCAGGTTCGTGGATTGTGCACAACCTGCTTACACTTAATCTGTGCACTATATATGGTTTTAGCAATGTTGAGGATCGAAAGTTGGGGTTAGCATCCATGATAAAAAGGGGAGTGCGAGATGTGTAATATTATGGAAGAGGGATTGGAGCATATTTAGATCTCAATGAATGCAAAATTTAATTATTTTTTTTTTGTGTAGAATAAACAAAAAAACTATTGACTTGAAATTCGGTTCACCTGTAATTGGTTTCTAGTAAATTTCTACCATTGTTTTNATTTTTAGTATTCATTTACTATGTAATTGGATTGGGTTGAGTTCACAAGTTTGAAATTCATAAATTTCTTACCTTACCCAAGTTTAAATGGGTGAACTAAATGATACCTAACCCTCAAAATTATAATTCGATAGGATTGGGCAGGTTCGTGGATTGTGCACAACCTGCTTACACTTAATCTGTGCACTATATATGGTTTTAGCAATGTTGAGGATCGAAAGTTGGGGTTAGCATCCATGATAAAAAGGGGAGTGCGAGATGTGTAATATTATGGAAGAGGGATTGGAGCATATTTAGATCTCAATGAATGCAAAATTTAATTATTTTTTTTTTGTGTAGAATAAACAAAAAAACTATTGACTTGAAATTCGGTTCACCTGTAATTGGTTTCTAGTAAATTTCTACCATTGTTTTTCTCCTCATGTTTTGGGATTAATTTGGCTTTATATTTTGTAGAAAGTAGACTTTAAATTTAACTCAATTTCTCAAAACCTACTTATAAAACTCTCACTTATATAGTATAATTTGACCATATATCAATTCAATGTTGAACTTCCATTACACCCCCTCAAGTGAAGGACTAGACACCTAGTCCGATACTGAGTATCATGATAGGCCTAATAAACTTTGTTAAAATAAGCCCTGATATTATCTTAAAATGTGAACTTTAAACCTAATTTAACCTTACAAAATTGACTTATAAGATAAGGTTTGTATTGATTTATATTCTATAATTTGGACATATATCTATTTGATAATATTCATAAATCAAATGTAACCATTTCCTGCCACCGTCTCATTGTGGTTAGAAAGACTGTTTTATGTTGTAGGAAGTATAGTGGTTAAAATCAATATTAGGAAATCGTAACATGGATTGTTAGATCTTATAAGATTCATGAAATTCATATATGTGCTATACATTCATGTATAGATGCATATAAAGTAGCATAAATAAGAAAATAGGACTTTAAATTCAACCTTCAAACACTTAATTGAACTTAAATTCAACATCATAAGAAAGTAAAACAAGACAAAGTTATAGGTACAAAACAGTCCAAGTGAAGCAATATGGCAAGTTGGATATTACTAAACACTCCTTGTGATGAAAATATATTAAAAGAATCAGAGAGACGAGAGACACGAACAAAGAACCCACAAGTAATTGCTTGCAACAAACAGTGAAGCCACAAGATAGAGAACCCATGAGATTCTTGTGGTTACATCAAATCAACCAAGAAAGATGGGTGAGACTACAAACAACAAAAATAAGTCACATGCTTTGCAGTTGCAGCAGTTAGTGTAAAAGATGTGAGCAAGACGGAATGGGCACAAGAGAGATGAAGTGTGAATCAAAGAGATGAAGCCAAGGATTAATTTCATGAAGGAATAGGGGCATATGAATTTGTTCAATGAAATAATACATATGGCTTGTGCTTTATTTTTGGTTTAAAATGGGTTTATGAAATGGGGCCATAAAACCTGACCCACAAGCTAAAAGAGAACTCACAAAAGGGGTCAATTCCATGTTTGTGTTTCGGTCTTCCTTGACCATCCTAGTGTTTCTGCAATGTTTTTATCCTTAACAAAACTAAAATCGTAAAAGGGGGCTTGCTATTTGTTGGAAGTCCCACATCAAAAATTGTTGTTTGTCAAGTCTATTGTTCCATCCGTTATTAGGTTGCTATCAGACCATCTATTAATGTTTAGTTCCACACACGAAATGTATTATCTTGGTGTGAGGAAGGTGTGTTAGAAGTCCCACACGATTAGAGACAAGACCAATTAAGAGTATAAAAGTGGGTGCAAATCTCACCTTACAAGTCAATTTTGTAGCATTGGGTTAGACGCAAAGTCTACTTTTTAACACTATTAAAAAAAATGAAGTTCTCATTTATGACTTTCATATTTTTCAATTTATGAATTTTTTCTTAATTGATATTTTAACTTCATCAATTTGCTTTTCTGATAATCTACAGACAAAATTGCATTGGATATACGGTATGTAGAGTAATAAATAAATAAAGAACAAAGACTGCTAAAATGTTCAACAAATTAAATAAAGGAGTTATTGATAACCTATGAAGCCCAAATACTTACTGTGACAATGGATGTGACAATTTTTTGAAATATAGGATATGATACGTTAACAAAAACTGATAAAATATTTTATATGCAGAATATTGGTAGAGAAAAAGGCATTGATTATTTCTTATTAATTCATAACTATGGTGATCACAATTTACAAAGATATTTGTGATCATATCATAACAAAAATAATAGTGTATGCCACTATCATAGCCAACCTTGACTAAATGTATCAATAAAAACATCTTGGATAGAATTCAAAATAAGTATTGTTTCTGTACAATAGCCTAGAATTCCAAAGCATCGTTACTTCAGTATTGTTTTATGTTAATTGTATCATTCTCCTTTTCCCGTGAAAAAAAAAACTTCTCTAAGTTTGATTTATCAAGAGACAACACTTTCAATTCAAGAAGTCTAGAACCATGATCAATTTTGGATCATGTGTATTTCCACTGATGATCCACAACCTTGTCTCTTTTGATAACTTTCATTAAAGTCAATGATTGGAAGCCACATGAACCAACTTGTGTCTTTTTTTGATCCATTTAGTTTCTCTTAAAAGAATGAATAAATGAGTATGTACTCTAATTTCTTTTACAAGAGTTAGGAAGGGCTTCGTTGGACAAGAAGCTTTAAGACAAACTTTTTTAATACTTTTCCGATACAAATCCGAAAGTATCTAAGTTGTATCTTAGTTTCTTTGTTTATTTTTTATTAAAATATGAAGAATGGATTCTTTTTAGATATGATCTGGTAGTATTCAAGGAGAATCGGTGTCTAAAACTGGTATGACAGTGATACTTTTCCCTTTTTGGAGTACATGGGCTTCATAGTTCACAAGCTATCAATATAAAGCCTGAACTTGTCTCATTTAAAAAATAATTGAACCCAATGTCAAGCTTGAGTTTGTTTATTTAATTAAACAAACAAATTTGGTTGAGCATTTATCAAAATAAATTTGAATGGTTCACAAATAATTCTACTCATTTATACCCCCACATATATTTTTTATTTTGGAATGAGTTCTGTGTATGGTTATAGCTCCAGAGGATGGAAAATGTGCAGTATGTGGCACTAACATTGTTACAACCTTTTTCTATTTTTCTCCAATCCCAATTCTGTTAGCAAATGTCACGTGATATCAAATGGATTGTGCTTTATACTTTATTTTATTTTAGTTGATATATTCTCATTTTCAAATGTATCATCTTTATACAGCTAATTTAGATTATGGTTCATTGGTCAACGTGTTTCTTACAGTATTGAGGTGCTCCCTGTGACAGGCTTCTTGTATCGTTTTCGGGAAAGTATCTGAAATGTGAGTATTGTGTACCGTCCCCACATAACTGGACTGAAGAAAATATTTCTTGCGCTTTTGACAATCAGTTGTACAAGATATATGTTCCTCATACAGAGGAAAGTCTCTCTGGGCCTGCATTTATTGAGGTAGTAATTGACCTATAGTTCTGTTTGCTTTATGTGGTCATATATAGGTTGTGCTGGAAAATCATCGAACAAATCAGGAAAATATATTTTTTGATGACCATAGCGTACTTTGAACTTCACAGATGATATAATTTGTGTTTCATGTTTGGTTGGTAACTTTTGTATTTTTCTGATAACTAAATGTGAGGGCTTCATAAGATTTTCATAGCAATCGTACCAAACTGAGGTAGCATATCATTCTTATAGAATCCCTCTCTGGTGTTGAATTCAGCAGTGTTATATTGGTTCTTTCTATTTGACTAGTTCTTGCCTTAAAGTACGTGTAATATATGTAAGAAGGTTATGTGACAATGGCTACAGTGATTAGGAGCATTGAAATCCAGTACGGAATTGTACTAATGTTTTATTGATCATTTACACACGTCACTTGATCAGCCAATATAAATCTCGCCATTCTATCATGGATTGTCATTGTGTTGATAATAACATCAAATTAAGATTGTTTTCACCTTTGATTTAACATAATATTCATTGTTGATTCATTTGCAAGTTTGATTAATTTTCATTTATAAATGCTTCACATCAATCTCTAAGAACTTTTTAAATTGTTTTTTTGGCAGTTCATATTTCTTACTCCCTTATGTTTTCTTATGTTGCTTTTGCCTTTTGTAGGTGGAGAATGAATCCGGTTTATCAAACTTTATTCCTGTACTCATTGCTGATAAAGAAACTTGTTCTGAAATGAAGATACTGCAGCAAAAATTAGATTCATCTCTCCTTTCTAATCAATTCCGGTCTGCATCAGGTGGTTCTATCTGCAGCTCGTGTGAAACATTTACACTTAGCCACACATCATCAGACTTACTTGTAGATATAGCATGGTTGCTTAAGGACACCACTTCAGAAAATTTTGACAGAGTGATTACAGCTTCACAAATCCAAAGATATTGTCACTTGTTGGATTTTCTGATGTGCAATGAATCAACAGTCATGTTGGAAAAAATATTACCAAATTTGATAATCTTGACAGAAAGCATGAAATCCAATTTTGTGATTAATACGACTAGTGATGTGGATACAAGGCAACTCCTGAATCACATACATAATGCTCAAATTACCATATTTCAGAAACATCAGAAAAATGGAAGTATTATTGTGCAGCCTGAAATGGAAGGCTTTAGACTTGCTCAGGGTTGCTCTCATGATAACAAGATCTCAGTTGCTATTAACAGTCAGGTTAGGACTAATAAATTCTTTCAGTTTTTTCTCCATGATGATGAAATATGATCGGCTTTTGAAGTTTTAGATTAAGAGGCTTTAGTTTTACTTCAATGGTCATTTTTTTGCCATATAGTGAAAGTAAATTGATGCATCTGGTATTGGTATAAGTTCTAACTCTTGTTCTGTAAAGTATTGGCAACTGCAATCAATTTGTTTGGGGCCTTGACAGAAGTTGAGTAAAATTTGATAACATGGAAATTAGCAATTGAGGTGTTAGTGTGTGGATTTCATTGATAACAAATGAATTTATTGTATTATTATAGAAGTCGCAATGATTGTTAGTAGGAAGGAAGTTGTTAACATGTTAAAAGTGGTGAAGGACCATGATATGTTAACAATTTTTTTTAACAACTTTTTGACAATAGATCATATGTCACTATTTTATTGGTTCGTATATTTGAAATGGACCAATCACGAACTACCACATAGACGGTTGTAAAAAAAACATTTTTTAGTGAAAGCATGGGTAAGATTGAATGAAGAGACAAGGGAAAGAAGACCGAAAAAGAGGTGAAAAAGGAAAATAAATAATAGTCAGGGTTACTCGTTGAAATATAGAAGCAATGAATGATCACCACTCTTTTTGTTGGTTAACTAAGGAGGCAGAATCAGCTGAAAATGTGTCGTATTTGAGATTATGTTCGATGTATTACATTACACCCCATTATCATCCATTTATCCTGAATTTCTTATTTTTAGCTTAAGCTTTAAATTAATTTCTTCCATGCGTCTATATTTTTAGCTCAAGGATTATACACGAATTGATTACTGTGTTAGGGTGACATGGCATTTTACATGGACCCTTAGTGTGTACCGTGTTCCAAATTAAAAGGATGTTTTTGTTGAATAATGTTACAATAGTGTAGTAGGAACTTAGTAACTGAACGGGAATGAATCTTTCGACCTTTTTCACTTATTAAATTATGTTGACCCTAGAGCAAATAGCTTTAAAGTAGAGCAGAGTTCGATTCTCACTCCCCAAACCTTAATTAGATTTTATGGCTTTTCAAGTTCTAAATTATCTACTAAAAAAAGATGGTTTTATGTGCCATAACGTTTCATAGAGAATATTACTTTAATTCTATGCTAAACAAGTGCATTGAATAAACAAAGTGCCTTGAAATCAAACAGTTTCTGATTACTTCAAGGCCAAAGCCTATTTTTTTTTCAGTTGCAACTTGTGCTATCAATATTCAGTGGATTGATTTGTTGTTAGTATATGTTAGTATACTAATTTATAGATCGTAGTTTCTTGCCGGACTTAATTTTATCCCTAAGATAATGTGGCCTTTTATCCCTACTTGGTATTCTTGTATTATGTCTAAGATCTTGTGATCTGCGCTAGCGACTAACATGGCATTTGCTTCATGGATTTCTGTTTTGCAGGGTATCCTGTCAAGAGCAGATGCAAAGTGGGGAGTGCTGAAAAATCTAACTTGTAGTGACAAAAATGAAAGAATACCTCTTTTAAAGAGAGATATTATAATGAATGTGGAAGAGTTGCCTGAAATATATGGTCGTGGATGTTTAGGCAGGGGGTTGTTGACCCCTCGACCAGCTATTTTTGTGATGGTTTCGATTGCTGTTTGTCTTGGGGTTTGTGTAGCCGTCCTTCATCCAGGAGGGGTTACTGAGTTAGCAGTATCTGTTAGAAGGTGTTTGTTTAACTATTAGTGGAAGCTTCAATTTTTTTGTACTTGTAGTTCGTACATATTTGTTGTAACGCTAAATAAGCATCGGAGTCAGGACGATTAGGTAGTTTATTGCGTTGGAATCGTAATCCAAGGTTTCTAATCTATATCATTGTTAAGTTGGGGTGTTTGTGCTAGAGATCTCTCGACAAGATGTGTAAAAAAATTTTCATGGAATTGAGAATCAAATTTTAATTCAGCCTCGACTTCAAGAACGAGTGTGGTTGCTTTTCTTCATTCATTAAAAGCATGTAATTTTATATGTTCAAATTCAATTCATTTATGAAATTAAATTATTTTTACTGTCAAAGTCATTTTATTTTAATGAACATAGAAAGTCCCTTTCCATAATATAATTTATTTTTTTATCAAAATTAAGCCTAATTCCATGTTGGGAGAACCTTAAAAAAAGTGTATTTTAGAAGTGATGATGTTTTAAAATATTGAGATTTTTTTATTTTAATGGTAAAACGTTTTTATATAAAGAACAAAACTCATAAAAAAGTTTTATTATTTAAAAGTATTTTATCTCTAGAAATTTTTTTCTAAGAGATTTCTCTCTTTTATCTGTTATTTTTTTAAAGATCGGAGATATCAAGATTTTGTTTTTGGATGAGTTTGTCAAGATTAATCAATTAATTTCTTTTTTGGAGTAAATTAGTTTTTAACTTCTTTCTTTGTCTTTTTTGTTTCATCTGATTGTACGTGGGTTTTCTTGTTTAAATGTATCATTGTTTGTGTTTCTTGTTATAAATGTTTTTGTTGGCATGATTAAATTGTTTTGATATTATTGTCTCTAGGTGTGGAAGGGGTATCGTGCAAGGTAGGAGGCATTTTGGATTTTTGGGTTGTTGAGCAGCTTTGAAAAGCTAGTCTTGATTTGCATAGTGTGAGTTTTATCAATTGCATGTTTTGCATGATTGTTGCTTTATCAGATATTGGGATGACATTTAATTGTTTTTTATGAATCTGATTTGGTGTGTAGGACTAGTTTGATTTGTATGAATTAGATAATTGTCATATTTTAGTATTTTAGTTGATTTTGTGTTAATTGAGAGAATCAGCGAGAAATTGATTAAATTGATACAAGCTTCAATGTTTTAAAACTCTTTTTGACCAAAACATTAAGAGAGAACTACCAATTTAATCAATTGAACAAGCCTCATTTTTTCAAATATTGGAATTTCATCTCTTGATATTTAGTATAACACTCATATAATTTAAATATTTTAAAATAATTATTTTGTACATTAATTTATCATGATGTTCTTTTGTATTTGTTGTATTTTGTTCGTTTTTTTTATAATCACTTCACGATATAACTAGATGAGGAATTAGATAATGATAAGTCTTTGGTAAAAAAGTGAAGATGTTGTTTTCTTTAGTATCTTAGAAGTTGTTTTATTTAAAAGTTTTTTTCTTTTTTTTTTAAAAAAATCATGTGAATTATAGTTGGTTTATATATATATATATATATATATATATATATATATATATATATATATTATAATAATTTTTTTTTGTCGAGATAACTCTATTTATACCTTATATACTAGATCTATATATTTTAAATTATTAATTTTATAATATTTTATTTAATAATTTTATACTATTAAATGATATCACTTAATATAAGGGTTTGTTCCATCATTGTCGTCCTTTCATTCACAGATACAGTAAGGAATAATTTTCTTTGTGGCAAGTGGTCTGTTTTCTAAAGAAACATGTATAGTAATCTTTTTAATTTGAATTTAAGGATTTCTAGGGTAGTTAAATGCTAACTTTACATATTGGACACAGAATTTTAAAATTTTAAAAAGTTTAAATGTTCTGATTTAATTTTTCTACACTTTCAAGTGCTTTATTTGGACAAATAAATTTAAATTTTCAATTTGATATCTTTCCCCTTCTATCCTCGTCTTAACCCAAACAAATATACTAAATAATAATATATCTTTTGAGTAAATATTTAGTGATATATTTATACGTTTTTCACATATTACAATTTAAAAAGTGAACATAGTTCAAATTAGAGAAAATAAAAATAAAAATTCCGTTGAATTGTCAAGATCTTACAACTATATACAAAGCATTTAGTTAAATGTCCTAAAATAAAATAATCAGTGAAATACATCTCAAATATTAAATTAAGAGTTTGTTCACTTGAATTGAATAGATTTGGAGGAGAGTGATTGAGGGGATTTGAAGGTAAATTTTTGTTATTTTATTTGAGTGAATTTGGAGGTAAATGAGAGTGAATTTAGAAGTAATTTTTTTTTAATTTGTCACATTAATCAAATCTTCACTGATTCTCACAAACTTTACTTCTAAATCCACTCTCACTTACTTCCAAATTCACTCAAATAAACAACAACAAAATTTACTTTCAAATCTTCTGAATCACTCTCTTCCAAATTCATTCAAGTGAACATGACCTAAGTTCTTTTATGACTGCTGCTACCAATAATTTTCTTATGACTTCCTGCCATCTTCGCGTACATCCATATTTAAATATCCATACTCTATTTTTATTTTTTTTGGGATAATTAGAAAACATTTATAATTAACTTATGTTATGTATTGCTATTCTTATTTTTTATATAATATATTTAACAAAATTAAATGTTTATTAAAGATTTCATAAGTTTACACTAATAATATATACTCCTTGAATTTCTTTTTAAATATAGTTTAATTTTTTTAAATATAGTTTAATTTTTTTAAATATTTATAAAAATATGAATTATTTTATCTTGATAAAATAATCATAAGATCCTCTATTTTACTCATTTATTTCCACCCATAATAATAAACACATAAATGTAAACTATAATAAAAAATTAAATGAAGAGGAAATGACATAAATAATAAATTACTGTTATATTGAATTTTTAAAAAGGAAATTAAATATAAAATATATTTTTTAAATTGATAGTTAAAAAAGAGAGTAATAACTAATGCGTGATATCCTTAACATATATGAAGTATATCAATATCTCTAACATATAAATAAAACTATTATGTTATTATCAATTAACAATGTTCATACCAATAGGTTAATTTCTTAACATTTTCTTAGGTGACCCAACTAAATTGACAAGTGATTGTTAAAATCTTTGCATGTTACTTTCATCTGTCTCGATGTAATTAACATCCTAGTTTAATTTTCTTATTTTCCGCACAGTAATAATGGGTTATTTATTAATATTAATGTTTCTCAATGATTGGTATAAAGACTCATAGAAAATCCGACATCGTATATTATGCATAATATAATACACCTAAATTGTTGACCAATCCTTGCCATAGGCAGAAAAAGGTGTTATAAGAACAAAGACAAGATATATACTTTATTTTCTAAAACTTTAAGACACATGTTCTAAATATTACTTTATATATACTGTTAATTAATTCAAAAATTCATTAGCTTTATGTCTTAATACATTTAAAACTTTCACTTAACATTAATATATAAATATATATATATATATATATATATATATATATATATATATATATATATATATATATAATACTACTAAACTATAAAATTAACAATATATAGTTGTTTTAAGACTACGTACTAAATAATACATGGAGAAATGTTTATTTGAATCAAATTTTCACAAATTTATTTTTAGTACTATTCCAAAAAAATCTTTCAAATGTATATTTTTTGTATATATAAATTCATGTTTATATTTTGTTTTATCCAATATGAAACTTTGTTAGGAACCTAACAATTTTTATACAAGATATTGATATCACTCTCAACTCAAAACTTTAAGACAATTGATTAATGAATTTCATCTTTGTGCTTTTTAATTCTATCAATATAAAATTTAAAATTATACTTAAATTCTCAATAATAACAAATTTGAAGTTTAGTTGAAACAGAAAATCATTAAAAGATATTTAATTATTTAAAACTGAGGGTTGACTTCCATCTTGATACTTTAGTGGGAAAAATGTTATATTAAAATCTTAATGTTACACATTTATAATATAAAACAATACACTTATCGTACTATTTGATCAAATTTTCAGTATAGAAAAACTGAACGAACAATCACAACATTAATAAGAACTTATTTTATCTCACACCAAATATTGATATCATTTTTAATTTAAATTTTAAAATAATAAATTTATAATATTTGTATCATAAAATATTAAATATTTTCATTTTTATTTAATATGAAACTTAAAATCTATATAATATGAGAGTTAGAAGCATGTTTGCATTCTCAACTCTGTTAATTATACACGCAAAATCACTAATAATACAGTTATAAAAAATGTAATGGTATGCTGAAGTACGGGTAGAGTAGTACCTTATACCGTATGAAGTTGAGAGAGTGGACGTAGACGAGGTACACGTATTTGTTTATTCATTTTGGCCACAAGTTCATTACTCATGTACAGCTATATATAGTACTATTAATTTAATTTCTGCAATTGATACGAGACTTTGTCTTATATCCACAAGTGCATGCATGCATAATAAAACTTATATTAAAATAACAATATTAATAATGAAGTGATAAGGTATATCAGTGTGGATTTGAGCTTTGAATTTTAGTGGGCTGGCTTAATCATTGATGATTTAAATCAAGCATAATCATAATTATGTATTTCATCCTTTTCTTTTAATACAATTAAATGCTTTTTTTAAGACTGTGACATAATGTTTGTCACATTTAAACTAGTTACAATATTTTTTATTTTTACCTTTTCTTCTCGTCTCTTCGTCATTATACATATTAATTAAAAATTAGATGAAAAATAAATATTTAGCAGAATGATGTTAATATTATCTTAAATATTAAAAGTGCATTTATAAAAATATATATTTTTTCAAAGATTTATTAGTTAAAAATTACAAAAAAGAGTTGTATTATAACGTGTTTCAGACATGAGAATCGAAATTACCAGTTTATTTGTTATATGGACTGTAAAGAAATATAAGTGTTCGTCTTCCCGTTGCCGTTCATTGTTTTTTTTTTTCTTCCCTTATGTTAAAAATTTACCTACAAAAGGTATTACGATGTTAAAATTAATAAAGTTTAACTTTCTTAAACAATTTATGCATATTAAATATCAACACTTACCTCTTTAATTTAAATTTTGTTTATAGAATTTGAAATGAATTTTTGATTAATTACAACTTAATTGATAATAGTCATATTTTAAATATTAAAGATAATTTCTTTGTAGACTAACCCTTCGACCTATTAGTTGGTCAGGAGAATTATACCGGCAATAATATTTTTTTCTTATTTAAGAAAAAAATTCTCGTTATATTTTTAAGTACTTCTTTTCAACAATACTCATATATTACCATTTGATTCAAAGGAAATATAAAAATAGTTGAAAGACTGGCAATATTCTTTACTAAATTTATATAAAGGAAAATGACACTTGAACAACCATTTTTTTGACAACATTTAGACACGTGTTCACGTGTCTAAATGTTATCAAAAATGGTTGTTCAAGTATCATTTTCCTTATATAAATTAAACATTTCTTGATCAGTCTGTTAGAATCTTATAACATTGTCATTTTTAAATAAATGAAGTACGTACTATGTCCCTTTTAAGCAAGAAAGTATCATCTAAAAGCAGTAAGTTTTTCTGCATTGCACGGATATATTTAGTTCAATGGAAAATATAAATGAAAAAATTAAAGAAAAAATATTTATTTTCATAATCAATTATAGATATTTCGTTTTACTAAATACAAAAAATAAAAAATAAAAAAGGACTTTTGAATTTGACGAAAATGACATAAAATTAAATTATTTAAGAATGAAAATCCAAATTCTGTGTAAAAAGTGTTCTGGAGATAATGTTAGTTTTCTCTCCTAACACAGTACAACCAAATCTTTCTGGGATACCCTACACTTGACAAACCAATGATTCATATAATGACAAGGTTCTTTGCTGTCTTTTTTTTTTTTAATATTTACCTCTGTTTCCATCGACAGAAAGAAAATGTTTGAAGAAAAGTCGTAAATTTTAGGTAGATCTAAATAACCTGTTTGTCAGCTATAATTGGTCATTTTCTCTTATCCTCTCTTTACGTATTCAATACTCTAATATAAAATATCCATTTTTGTAATATAAAAATACTTCATAGTTTAATTAATATGATTTTTATTTCTATATAAAAATACTTCATAGTTTAATTAATATGATTTTTCTTAATATTTAAAACATAATTTTAATTTATAGACTTAAAAATTTGAGACTAAAATAATTTTTTAAGTATATTAACAGTGTGACACCCGGGCACTAACGAGGACAGGGAGTGATCGCCGGTGCAAGAGGCACGAAGTGCAAGAGGCACTAACAAGGAGCGGCTCCTGACAGGTTTCCAGTGGAAGGGGCACATGGACGAATCGAATATACACCGGAATGAGAGGATCTAGAGACTGTATAGGTATGGGACTATACAGTTGAAGGATAACTTAAAGGGATTGATTTGACTACTCATATCACCAAATGTATTTGATTTTCGGTAGCCTAACTCATAAGAACTCCATGGTTAAGCGGAGGCACATGGACGAATCGAACATACACCGGAATGAGAGGGATCTAAAGACTGTATAGGTATAAGACTATACAGTTAAAGGGGACTATACAAACAGAACTTAAAATCATATATAAGTTAATGTAAGTGATAGCATAAACTCATGAAGAAATATTGTGTTATTTAATATTATTTTATATTAATTTTAATTTTATTTTATATTAATTATAATTTTTTAATTTTTTAACATGTAAATAAAAGTAAGCAAAACAACAAAACATAATAATATAATTAAATAGTTAATGAAAAAATTATACATCCCTATAGCTTAATTAAAAATATTTTTTTAAAATATTCGGACAAATCAAACAAATTTAATAAAGACTCAAACAAAAAATACTTACATATATGTAAATACGTATGTATTTCCACTAATATAAATAAGAAAAATATAATATTATGAATTTCTATTGTTATAAATTAAGATAAATCATTCATATATTCTATCTTAGGGTGCAGGAGAATGCAGATATAAGGACTAGAGAGATACATAGACTATGAGTATAACTATAATTGAGAAAAATGATCATAGGGAATTTTCTTATTAATGAACACTCTGATCAAGAAATATAATTCCAAATGTTTATTAGATTCTAATTTTATGTAATTTTAATATCTATATTTGTTTAAGAAGTTGTTGATTTAGTCAATATTAATTTAATTTATTTTTATATTTATTTTAATTAGTGTCTTTTAATATTTATTGAAATTTTGTCAGTTGATATTAATTTTATTTATGTTGTTATCTATATTTATTTATGATTATTACTCATTAAAATAACATTAATTTATTTATTTTTAATATTTATTCAAATTAATGTTAATTTAATCAATACTATTATAATTTTTTAAATATTTATTTAAACATTGAAAAATTAAGGTTATATATCAATTTATAATTTGTGTTTTTTCATGTTTTAGAACATGATAACAAATAATTTTGAATTAAAGGTAAAAAATATTTAAGTTGCGTATGTTTGTCTTGTTAGTCATAAGGTAATATTTCTCGCTTTAAAGATTTTCTATCAATCTCTACTTTCTTCTTTCTTCTTGTGTCATAGATAATAATTTATATTCATCGTTTTTGCCACTTTAATAACAATTTTCACTAACATAAATGAATTTATAAAGAAAGTAAAAGTGAGACGTATAAGTAGTTTTCATTTGTCTTTCCATAATAAGATTTACTATCACTTAATAGAATTTATTTATGCGTTCCATTTTTACTTTCTCAATGAATCTACTTATGCTAGTGAGTATTACTATTAAAGTAACAAGAATGATGAACCTATATTATTGCCTATAAAATAAGAACAAAAAATGTAAAAAGAAAGTAAAAATTGATAGAGAATATTTGAAGTTTGAAATATGACCAACAAGACAAACATAAATATTTTCTATTTTTAATTCAAACTTATTTGCCATCCAATTCTAAAATATGGAAAAACACAAATTATAAGATTAATGTAACCTTAATTGACAAATGTTTAAATAAAACATTATAATAGTATCGATTAAATTAACATTAATTTGAATAAATATTAAAAATAAATAAATTAATGTTAATTTAATCAGTAATAATCATAAATAAATATAGATATCAAAATAAATAAAATTAATATCAATTAACAAAATCTTAATAAATATTAAAAGGCACTAATTAAAATAAATATAAAAAAAATTAAACTAATATCGACTAAATCAACAACAACTTAAACAAATATAGATATTAAAATGACATAAAATTAGAATCCATTGAATTGACGTTAAATAACACACCTCGAGACATTCTGATCATCATAAACTGGAAACCATATAAAAATGGAATGAGTTTTAAGGCCTAATAGCATATTTAATACTATGATTTATTTATATACACTATATATATATATATATATATATATATATATATATATTGAAAAATATAATTCCTAATGTTTATTAGATTACATTATAACTTATTTTTAATTTTATTCTAATTAAATCTGTTTTAAGAGATTTGAATCAATTTTCAAATTTATCTTTTTATTATAAATTTAATTAATATTTATAATAATAATACTTATTATTTTTACGAGTCAAGTAATGATTTAAATTGTTAAAGTTGAATATAATTTAACAAAATAACTAAATAATATTACTTAAGATGTTTTGAAGTGTTACGTAAGACTTATCATTATTTTAAACAATCGAAAACAAGTCTGATATTGTTATTGTTCGATCCGAGTAGGAACCACGTAAGGTGTGATGAATAAAGAAAGAGCAATGATGCAGTGGCAGTAGATGTAACTCGTTACCTTCTAATTCATCACCAAGAAGAGCTTCTAATTTGTTCTCTTCTGAACGCCACATCAGTGACAGCTTCATTCCCACATGCTCTTAATTACCACAAAACATCTTTCAATGTTTCATGCAATATAAATACCCTGCAACACACCATGCTTTTGCATGTCCTCCATTCACACCATTCTCTTTTTTTGAGGCCATTTTTCTTCTTATTTAAGAATATGGCAATTGAGCAGCACAGGGATGTGGAGACTGGTGAAGCCACCAAGCTCCAGTTTTTACAAGAGCCCTTCATTCGACCAGAGGAAAATGGATCCATTACAATGGTTTTGCTTAGCACACTTGTTGCTGTTTGTGGTTCATTCACTTTTGGAACTTGCGTAAGTATATATATCTTAAACCGTAGGAAAATTACAGTTCAAAGTCGTGTATGTTTTCAGTGGCAAGACTATTCAAAGGGGAAATTAAAAGAGAAGAAAGTGAAAATTTCTGAGCATGACTTGAGAAAGAAACATTCTAAATCAAACCAAATGTACAGAAATGAAAAAAGCTTTCACCTTTTCTTTTATGTTGGGCTGAAGTTATTATTTTGACAGGTGGGCTATTCAGCACCCACTCAAGCAGCTATAAGGGAAGATCTTAATCTATCTCTTGCTGAGGTTAGTATATTCTCGTTTTCCATTCACATTCTCATTTATATAATATTCTCTTTTCTCATTTCCTTCTTTTTTGGGATTGGTAGTTTTCAATGTTTGGTTCTTTAGTAACCATTGGTGCAATGCTCGGGGCTATGACCAGTGGCCGGATCACAGATTTCATTGGCCGAAAAGGGGTATGTGAAATCTAAATGCCTAAAAATCAGAATCTATGTTCCGAACCTTGTATTAATTATGCATGTAACATGTTATGTTGGTTAATACTTCTTTGAATGAATAGTATATACATATATAGATACTACGAAAGGACTTGTATTTCTGCATTGCCATTCAAATATAAACTGTTATTGTTCATGCGAAACAGGCAATGAGAATTTCAACAGGTTTTTGCATTACAGGATGGTTAGCTGTCTTTTTCTCCAAGGTATTCATTTTCTGCATATATTTGCTCTTATGAAGAAAAGTTGTGGCAAAAAACTAGATAGGTTTTTATTCTTTTCTATCTGTTGCAGAGTTCTTACTCCCTTGACTTGGGAAGATTTTCCACAGGGTACGGCATTGGAATTATCTCATACGTGGTAACTAATTTTGATAACCATGAAACTCTCACTTATTCTATTCATAAAGTTTAGGCTAACTTAAATATGTTTGTTTATTCATATGTTTCCTCTTCACTGTAGTATATATAATAAAAGTATGTAAAATGGAACAGGTTCCTGTATATATAGCAGAAATAGCACCCAAACATCTTCGAGGAGGACTTGCAACAACAAATCAGGTGATGAAATGTTGAGAACTTTCGTATTGTTCTTTATGTAAAATTTAAGACTTAACTGCTAGTGAGTTGAATTTTGACTCTAACTCTGATTGTTTTGTATTGTAGCTTTTGATTGTTATTGGAATGTCTGTTTCATTCTTAATAGGAAGTGTCATAAACTGGAGACAGCTCGCACTAGCGGGTAAGCACATAATAACATTAGTTTTGAATTGTAGGCTAAGGTGTAACAAATTATGGATACAAAGGTGTAACTATTATTTCTTTGGTTTGAACTGTGCAGGGTTAGTACCTTGCATTTGCTTGGTGATTGGTTTGTGCTTTATCCCTGAGTCCCCAAGATGGCTGGTAAGCATATTCGGCTGCTAAGGACCAAATCAATGCAGTATTTTCTTCTTAATCTTGCAATGAAAATTAACATGTATGTATTATTTTAGGCAAAGGTTGGCCGTGAAAAAGAATTTCAACTTGCTTTAAGGAGTCTTCGGGGTAAAGATGTGGATATTTCTCATGAAGCTGCAGAAATTCTGGTACATTCCAATCTGATTGAGAGCCTTCAGAGAAATTTCAAAACAACTTGACATGTTTTTGACCTTAGCTAACTGTTTTCTTTTTTTGGATGAATAGGATTATATTGAAACTTTTCAAAGCCTTCCAAAGACTACACTGTTGGATTTGTTCCAAAGCAAATATGTGCGCTCTTTAGTTGTAAGTAACACACTTCTCTTGCAGAAATCTAGTGACAACGAACATAATTGCTCAAAAGACCTAAATTGGATTTTTGTCACAATTTCAGATTGGGGTTGGGTTAATGGCATGTCAACAATCTGTTGGAATCAATGGCATAGGATTCTACACAGCTGANTTATATAAATTAAACATTTCTTGATCAGTCTGTTAGAATCTTATAACATTGTCATTTTTAAATAAATGAAGTACGTACTATGTCCCTTTTAAGCAAGAAAGTATCATCTAAAAGCAGTAAGTTTTTCTGCATTGCACGGATATATTTAGTTCAATGGAAAATATAAATGAAAAAATTAAAGAAAAAATATTTATTTTCATAATCAATTATAGATATTTCGTTTTACTAAATACAAAAAATAAAAAATAAAAAAGGACTTTTGAATTTGACGAAAATGACATAAAATTAAATTATTTAAGAATGAAAATCCAAATTCTGTGTAAAAAGTGTTCTGGAGATAATGTTAGTTTTCTCTCCTAACACAGTACAACCAAATCTTTCTGGGATACCCTACACTTGACAAACCAATGATTCATATAATGACAAGGTTCTTTGCTGTCTTTTTTTTTTTTTTTTTAATATTTACCTCTGTTTCCATCGACAGAAAGAAAATGTTTGAAGAAAAGTCGTAAATTTTAGGTAGATCTAAATAACCTGTTTGTCAGCTATAATTGGTCATTTTCTCTTATCCTCTCTGTACGTATTCAATACTCTAATATAAAATATCCATTTTTGTAATATAAAAATACTTCATAGTTTAATTAATATGATTTTTATTTCTATATAAAAATACTTCATAGTTTAATTAATATGATTTTTCTTAATATTTAAAACATAATTTTAATTTATAGACTTAAAAATTTGAGACTAAAATAATTTTTTAAGTATATTAACAGTGTGACACCCGGGCACTAACGAGGACAGGGAGTGATCGCCGGTGCAAGAGGCACGAAGTGCAAGAGGCACTAACAAGGAGCGGCTCCTGACAGGTTTCCAGTGGAAGGGGCACATGGACGAATCGAATATACACCGGAATGAGAGGATCTAGAGACTGTATAGGTATGGGACTATACAGTTGAAGGATAACTTAAAGGGATTGATTTGACTACTCATATCACCAAATGTATTTGATTTTCGGTAGCCTAACTCATAAGAACTCCATGGTTAAGCGGAGGCACATGGACGAATCGAACATACACCGGAATGAGAGGGATCTAAAGACTGTATAGGTATAAGACTATACAGTTAAAGGGGACTATACAAACAGAACTTAAAATCATATATAAGTTAATGTAAGTGATAGCATAAACTCATGAAGAAATATTGTGTTATTTAATATTATTTTATATTAATTTTAATTTTATTTTATATTAATTATAATTTTTTAATTTTTTAACATGTAAATAAAAGTAAGCAAAACAACAAAACATAATAATATAATTAAATAGTTAATGAAAAAATTATACATCCCTATAGCTTAATTAAAAATATTTTTTTAAAATATTCGGACAAATCAAACAAATTTAATAAAGACTCAAACAAAAAATACTTACATATATGTAAATACGTATGTATTTCCACTAATATAAATAAGAAAAATATAATATTATGAATTTCTATTGTTATAAATTAAGATAAATCATTGATATATTCTATCTTATAGGGTGCAGGAGAATGCAGATATAAGGACTAGAGAGATACATAGACTATGAGTATAACTATAATTGAGAAAAATGATCATAGGGAATTTTCTTATTAATGAACACTCTGATCAAGAAATATAATTCCAAATGTTTATTAGATTTTAATTTTATGTAATTTTAATATCTATATTTGTTTAAGAAGTTGTTGATTTAGTCAATATTAATTTAATTTATTTTTATATTTATTTTAATTAGTGTCTTTTAATATTTATTGAAATTTTGTCAGTTGATATTAATTTTATTTATGTTGTTATCTATATTTATTTATGATTATTACTCATTAAAATAACATTAATTTATTTATTTTTAATATTTATTCAAATTAATGTTAATTTAATCAATACTATTATAATTTTTTAAATATTTATTTAAACATTGATAAATTAAGGTTATATATCAATTTATAATTTGTGTTTTTTCATGTTTTAGAACATGATAACAAATAATTTTGAATTAAAGGTAAAAAATATTTAAGTTGCGTATGTTTGTCTTGTTAGTCATAAGGTAATATTTCTCGCTTTAAAGATTTTCTATCAATCTCTACTTTCTTCTTTCTTCTTGTGTCATAGATAATAATTTATATTCATCGTTTTTGCCACTTTAATAACAATTTTCACTAACATAAATGAATTTATAAAGAAAGTAAAAGTGAGACGTATAAGTAGTTTTCATTTGTCTTTCCATAATAAGATTTACTATCACTTAATAGAATTTATTTATGCGTTCCATTTTTACTTTCTCAATGAATCTACTTATGCTAGTGAGTATTACTATTAAAGTAACAAGAATGATGAACCTATATTATTGCCTATAAAATAAGAACAAAAAATGTAAAAAGAAAGTAAAAATTGATAGAGAATATTTGAAGTTTGAAATATGACCAACAAGACAAACATAAATATTTTCTATTTTTAATTCAAACTTATTTGCCATCCAATTCTAAAATATGGAAAAACACAAATTATAAGATTAATGTAACCTTAATTGACAAATGTTTAAATAAAACATTATAATAGTATCGATTAAATTAACATTAATTTGAATAAATATTAAAAATAAATAAATTAATGTTAATTTAATCAGTAATAATCATAAATAAATATAGATATCAAAATAAATAAAATTAATATCAATTAACAAAATCTTAATAAATATTAAAAGGCACTAATTAAAATAAATATAAAAAAAATTAAACTAATATCGACTAAATCAACAACAACTTAAACAAATATAGATATTAAAATGACATAAAATTAGAATCCATTGAATTGACGTTAAATAACACACCTCGAGACATTCTGATCATCATAAACTGGAAACCATATAAAAATGGAATGAGTTTTAAGGCCTAATAGCATATTTAATACTATGATTTATTTATATACACTATATATATATATATATATATATATATATATATATATTGAAAAATATAATTCCTAATGTTTATTAGATTACATTATAACTTATTTTTAATTTTATTCTAATTAAATCTGTTTTAAGAGATTTGAATCAATTTTCAAATTTATCTTTTTATTATAAATTTAATTAATATTTATAATAATAATACTTATTATTTTTACGAGTCAAGTAATGATTTAAATTGTTAAAGTTGAATATAATTTAACAAAATAACTAAATAATATTACTTAAGATGTTTTGAAGTGTTACGTAAGACTTATCATTATTTTAAACAATCGAAAACAAGTCTGATATTGTTATTGTTCGATCCGAGTAGGAACCACGTAAGGTGTGATGAATAAAGAAAGAGCAATGATGCAGTGGCAGTAGATGTAACTCGTTACCTTCTAATTCATCACCAAGAAGAGCTTCTAATTTGTTCTCTTCTGAACGCCACATCAGTGACAGCTTCATTCCCACATGCTCTTAATTACCACAAAACATCTTTCAATGTTTCATGCAATATAAATACCCTGCAACACACCATGCTTTTGCATGTCCTCCATTCACACCATTCTCTTTTTTTGAGGCCATTTTTCTTCTTATTTAAGAATATGGCAATTGAGCAGCACAGGGATGTGGAGACTGGTGAAGCCACCAAGCTCCAGTTTTTACAAGAGCCCTTCATTCGACCAGAGGAAAATGGATCCATTACAATGGTTTTGCTTAGCACACTTGTTGCTGTTTGTGGTTCATTCACTTTTGGAACTTGCGTAAGTATATATATCTTAAACCGTAGGAAAATTACAGTTCAAAGTCGTGTATGTTTTCAGTGGCAAGACTATTCAAAGGGGAAATTAGAAAAGAGAAGAAAGTGAAAATTTCCGAGCATGACTTGAGAAAGAAACATTCTAAATCAAACCAAATGTACAGAAATGAAAAAAGCTTTCACCTTTTCTTTTATGTTGGGCTGAAGTTATTATTTTGACAGGTGGGCTATTCAGCACCCACTCAAGCAGCTATAAGGGAAGATCTTAATCTATCTCTTGCTGAGGTTAGTATATTCTCGTTTTCCATTCACATTCTCATTTATATAATATTCTCTTTTCTCATTTCCTTCTTTTTTGGGATTGGTAGTTTTCAATGTTTGGTTCTTTAGTAACCATTGGTGCAATGCTCGGGGCTATGACCAGTGGCCGGATCACAGATTTCATTGGCCGAAAAGGGGTATGTGAAATCTAAATGCCTAAAAAACAGAATCTATGTTTCGAACCATGTATTAATTATGCATGTAACATGTTATGTTGGTTAATACTTCTTTGAATGAATAGTATATACATATATAGATACTACGAAAGGACTTGTATTTCTGCATTGCCATTCAAATATAAACTGTTATTGTTCATGCGAAACAGGCAATGAGAATTTCAACAGGTTTTTGCATTACAGGATGGTTAGCTGTCTTTTTCTCCAAGGTATTCATTTTCTGCATATATTTGCTCTTATGAAGAAAAGTTGTGGCAAAAAACTAGATAGGTTTTTATTCTTTTCTATCTGTTGCAGAGTTCTTACTCCCTTGACTTGGGAAGATTTTCCACAGGGTACGGCATTGGAATTATCTCATACGTGGTAACTAATTTTGATAACCATGAAACTCTCACTTATTCTATTCATAAAGTTTAGGCTAACTTAAATATGTTTGTTTATTCATATGTTTCCTCTTCACTGTAGTATATATAATAAAAGTATGTAAAATGGAACAGGTTCCTGTATATATAGCAGAAATAGCACCCAAACATCTTCGAGGAGGACTTGCAACAACAAATCAGGTGATGAAATGTTGAGAACTTTCGTATTGTTCTTTATGTAAAATTTAAGACTTAACTGCTAGTGAGTTGAATTTTGACTCTAACTCTGATTGTTTTGTATTGTAGCTTTTGATTGTTATTGGAATGTCTGTTTCATTCTTAATAGGAAGTGTCATAAACTGGAGACAGCTCGCACTAGCGGGTAAGCACATAATAACATTAGTTTTGAATTGTAGGCTAAGGTGTAACAAATTATGGATACAAAGGTGTAACTATTATTTCTTTGGTTTGAACTGTGCAGGGTTAGTACCTTGCATTTGCTTGGTGATTGGTTTGTGCTTTATCCCTGAGTCCCCAAGATGGCTGGTAAGCATATTCGGCTGCTAAGGACCAAATCAATGCAGTATTTTCTTCTTAATCTTGCAATGAAAATTAACATGTATGTATTATTTTAGGCAAAGGTTGGCCGTGAAAAAGAATTTCAACTTGCTTTAAGGAGTCTTCGGGGTAAAGATGTGGATATTTCTCATGAAGCTGCAGAAATTCTGGTACATTCCAATCTGATTGAGAGCCTTCAGAGAAATTTCAAAACAACTTGACATGTTTTTGACCTTAGCTAACTGTTTTCTTTTTTTGGATGAATAGGATTATATTGAAACTTTTCAAAGCCTTCCAAAGACTACACTGTTGGATTTGTTCCAAAGCAAATATGTGCGCTCTTTAGTTGTAAGTAACACACTTCTCTTGCAGAAATCTAGTGACAACGAACATAATTGCTCAAAATACCTAAATTGGATTTTTGTCACAATTTCAGATTGGGGTTGGGTTAATGGCATGTCAACAATCTGTTGGAATCAATGGCATAGGATTCTACACAGCTGAGACTTTTGTAGCAGCTGGTAAGTCAGAAGAGTCAGAACAACCAGTTTCTTCGGTTTGCCATATTTATTTTTCTTCTTCAACTGTTGAATTTGCAGGACTTTCTTCAGGAAAAGCTGGAACTGTAGCATATGCTTGTATGCAGGTAGTTTATCCCTCTACTAGTTTCTAATAAATCAATAGCGTGAATAACATTATTGTGTTTGAACTTCACCAGTTACAATGATTGACAGGTTCCATTTACTATATTGGGAGCCATTTTGATGGATAGGTCTGGAAGAAGACCTCTTATAATGGTAAATCTATCTGAAAGGACTTATTTATCAAGAACAAGTAAAATTAAATGGTGTAAGAACTTTGTTGCTTAACAGAAGTTCTTGTAAACATGCAGGTTTCTGCAAGCGGGACATTCTTAGGTTGCTTTATAGCAGGAATTGCTTTCTACCTCAAGGCAAGTCTTCAGTATAAAATGCATTTGTACTGTCATGATAAAACAGAAAGTAAAGTGAACGAGTTTGTTTTATAGTATTCCAAATTTTTAACCTTACTAGTTTGTTTTCTAACACTCCATGTTTTGAGGCTCAAGAGTTTTTAAAGTGAATCTTCCTAAAAAACACACTGAATACTCTGACTTGAGGTCATTTAAACTTTAAACCAGTTTGAATAATTTTATCTGCACATGGTCCTTATGTGTGCCTATATTCTAAAATTGTTGATGACTGGATGGATCAGGACCAAAGCTTATTGCTTGAGTGGGTACCTATATTAGCAGTTACTGGCGTGTTGGTGAGTTTTCTTCTGCAACATTAATTCCTACCCCACTCCCCATGTTCTATCAAATTCTAGTTTGACCTGAAATTGTCCCATCTTTTGAATCTTACTATGATCAGATCTATATAGCAGCATTTTCAATTGGAATGGGACCAGTTCCTTGGGTGATAATGTCTGAGGTATGTTACATATGGCACCAAAATTTACAATAGAAGACCCTTGTAGCATATACTGCTACTCAACATTGAAATGGCAGCCATCATTATTTGCCTAAAATATGTTCTATATAAGAGATGTAACAATTTTAAAGGGACCAACACACTGATAGTTAAAAACCAAAATTTGCATGAACTTGATGTTACTTTTCATATTCACAGATCTTTCCCATAAACGTGAAAGGAACTGCTGGAAGCTTGGTGGTTTTGTTGAATTGGTTAGGAGCCTGGATAGTTTCATATACTTTCAACTTTCTAATGAGTTGGAGTTCTCCAGGTAAGCACAAAACATGCATTCTTAATTTCTTGTGGCTATTATAATTAGTGAAATGTATTTATGTTGTTTTGTTTTTCTTTGGGCAGGTACTTTGTTTTTGTATGCTGGATTTTCCCTCTTAACTATTCTGTTTGTAGCAAAATTAGTCCCAGAAACCAAAGGAAAAACTCTGGAAGAGATCCAGGCTTGCATTAGTTCATAGAGAGAAAGTAAATTACCACCATTTATCAAATTCTTTTGGATCCATTTAGGATTCTCAAGGCATCAAATAACAGATTGTGCCATATCCATTTTTTTCTGCTGCATAGTAATAACATATCGCAGCATATCTGATAAGAAAAAAGAAAACATATTCTGTAACACTGCCTCTGCCTCTTCTGATTGTTTTAATGGTCATGCTTGTGAGTAATTAATGGCTTCCAAAATTTCTCGATGCAATCTAGTTCGAACTTGAGGTTCTACCGAATACAAAAAACGAAAGCTTTCAATTACTATGTGATAATTAATTTGAGTTTCTTTCTCTTCTTGTTGCAATACTGACAGGAAAACTTAAATTTAAGAAGCTACCGTGTTGTTCGTCATTAATTTATCTGTTTTTAAACTGATGGTAGTTATTACCTTAACCAGATACATCATAGATTTAGATTGAGGTTCACTGTTAGTCCACGTTCTTGTCTTAAAAATTTTACAGCATGAAATTAAGAAAAACCCTTAATATTTATATTTACCTAAAATATTCATATATTTTGTATTTCATTCCTGTTATTTAATAATTTGAGATTGCCATACTACTATTCCTTTATCTTAAAAAAAAGTAAAAGTAATAGATATATAATTATTATCTTACATATTTAAAATTAAAATGAAAAAGGTCTTTCAAAATAATAAATAAAAGAATGATGGAAGTAGTGTAAACATGAAAACAATATAAGAGAAGGTTGTCAATTTACCAAATATAAAAGAAAACTATAGATTTTGTGATGATTATTATATTTTCCTTTCTTATCATATATACTTTAAATAATTATTTGATTATTCAGTAAGTCACAATAGATACATTGCACTTCTTAATATGAATCAAAAGATAAATCATATACATTAAATTTTTCATAAACATCTTCATGCAAATTTCTAAAATGTTAGAGAAAATACTAATCCTACACCTTTGTATAGGTAAAAAAAGTATAAAAGTAGATAGGTAAATGTAGTTTTATATTGATAATTTAGAACAATTAATATGAACATAACTTAATCATATAAGAAATTAATATACTTTTTATTCTTGTGTTTTACTTCTTCATTTTTATTTAATATGAAGCTTAAAATTTAGAATTTTAAGAGCTCTAATTGAGATTATAATATTTTACGTAAACTTTTCAATTTGTGAATGGGACAACACTCTAAATGATACTACAATTGGCTTTAATATACTTGCCAAATTTAGCATGACACCATTAAAAGTAAAATTACATACAGTGCAAGAAAAGAAAGGATGAAAAAGTAATGCAGAAACATTCCTTCCATCAACTTCTCCTCGTGTGTGCATGAATTTTTATGAAACCTTTTTCCTAAACTTATTAAAGATATTTAATACTTTAGAGTCTTATAAGATNTGTATTCTTGTGTTTTACTTCTTCATTTTTATTTAATATGAAGCTTAAAATTTAGAATTTTAAGAGCTCTAATTGAGATTATAATATTTTACGTAAACTTTTAAATTTGTGAATGGGACAACACTCTAAATGATACTACAATTGGCTTTAATATACTTGCCAAATTTAGCATGACACCATTAAAAGTAAAATTACATATAGTGCAAGAAAAGAAAGGATGAAAAAGTAATGCAGAAACATTCCTTCCATCAACTTCTCCTTGTGTGTGCATGAATTTTTATGAAACCTTTTTCCTAAACTTATTAAAGATATTTAATACTTTAGAGTCTTATAAGATTTCAATTATAAATTAACCAGATGATAATAAATATTGTTATTTGTTGAGATACATATTTAACATTTTATTTTCTTGAAACATATTGTAAGTTAAATATGTTATTAGTTTCTAAAATTAAATAATGTTTGTTTCTAATTCTATAAGGTATATTTAGTTTTTTATTTATGAAAAGGAATCAAACAAAACTTCCACAAATGATGAAAATAATACGAATTTGTTTTTTGTGAAATGCAGCGACCTTTTATGAAGTAAATTACGACAATGTTATTTTTTTCCTAGAGATAAAATAATTACTACAATTATGTCCAGTTCCGGAAAAAAAGAAAGAAACCATAAATGGTATTTAATGAAACATGTTAGATAATTAATATAAATATTAAACCTCCTGTTAAACGATATTATTATCATTATTATTATAATAATGATATATTTATGCAGTGATTTTTAATTTGATTTTTTAATATGAAAATAATATTTATTTTGAATGTTAATTTAAGTTAGAGCTTGAGTGACTAGCTGGTAGTCTGTATCACCTTGTGTGAGTACCTTACGTGTTGAGATAGCAATTTGTGAAGAAACCAAGCAAAGGCAAGGAAATGAAGGGCCTTTGACATTTCTAATTTTCCAATATTTAATATTCATTCTTCCCAAATTGCATCACTCACACTGCAACACCAAAATCCAACTCATTCAATTCAAGACTTCACTTCTTGTTCCAAATCAGAGGTCACCTTCAATCTCCAATAATCCCTCTGGTGACTTTTTTTTATATTTCAATTTTCACTTCAGCTGTTTGATCTTTCGTTCTTCAATGATGCTCAATTGTGTTTCGTATTGGTATTCAGATATTCGTTTTCCTTTTAATTATCGTAATTAGACTAAAGTTCCTTTCTTTTTGTTCAATTAGTTTGTTCTCTTCATTTTACACCTACTTTTTGCTGCATCCAACAAAAAGAACCGCAAATGAAAACCTTTTGGCTGTGAGCAACCACTGTTTTCAGTTTATTTCATATGATTTGCTTCTTCACTGTGTGAGACTGAAAGGGTTTCTCTTTGGCACTGAATGTTAGCGTTGAATGTTGAAATAGTTCAAAATTATAAGATTTTCCGTATATTGTTGAATATTGGTGGCTTAAAATTTTTCTGGCTCAGGGTTTCTTATTGGACTTGATGCTTTTTTTTCAGGATATTGGGAGAATTATGAGTCGGTCGAACAAAAATAAGAGTACTTGTAATGACGGTGGTGCCAGTAATGAATCTTCTGCGGGTGGAATAGCAGGAGAAAGGGATAGTCATCTTGATCATGAAATTGCACAGCTTACAAAACTTAGGTCAAGTCCTCATGAGCTTTTGGGCCGTGTTGTTCCTGGTAGGATGAGGTTACCTGCATCTACTGTGAGAATGTTAGTTGGTAGAGAAGGTAATTTTTCCGGAAGAGGGAGATTTTCATCAGCTGATGGATGTCATGTGTTAAGCCGGTATTTGCCTACCAAAGGTCCTTGGGTTGTGGATAGGATGAAAAGCCGTGCCTATGTTTCACAGTTTTCTGATGATGGTTCTCTTTTTATTGCTGGATTTCAGGTTATTATTATCATTATCATTGTAATTGATGTAGTTGTATGTTTAAATCATGTTTGAAGCTAAAGATGGTTCTGTTAAATTGAAGAGTTTTGTACCAGTAAAAAAGGGTCACTAGATCTTCATTTCTAGTTGTTTTGTTATAAAACAGGGAAGCCACATCCGGGTCTATGATGTTGATAGGGGCTGGAAAGTTAAAAAGGACATCTCTGCTAGAAACTTACGCTGGACAATTACTGATACATCTCTGTCACCAGATAAACTCTATCTTGTAAGTTGAGTTGATTGCTAATGAAAGTGGTGTTCATGGATATTACTATGATTAAGGATTTACAACTAAATACTACCTATTTTGTGAGGCCAAATTCTCCACTGGTCTTTTGGTACTGTCCCTCTACTGTGCTCCAAATTACACCGAATATGATTTACTGAAAATACTTTTAATATATTTTGAATTGTCAAATCAATGTAACTTAAGGCACAATATAAAAAGCTAGCATAGACCCGAAATTCTAATTTAATTTTGACCTTGGCTCGTGAATGTGAGCACCTTTATTACAAGTCTGAGCGGTTAACCCCTTTGTTTCTTTTAATTTCTTGCAGCTCACATTTGGCAATTTGTTAATTAATTATTGCAGGTTTATGCCAGTATGTCACCTATTATCCATATTGTTACTGTTGGATCTGCAACAACAGAGTCAATAGCAAACATTACAGTAAGTACCGAAACTTGTTCACTCATTCTTTATAGCCAGTCAAATATATTTTCATAGCTTTTTAATGTTGTAGAGTGGTAAGCAAATGTTAAGTTTATAGTTATTTTCCTAGTTGTGTAAAAATTATATTACTTGCAATAACTGTATTCTGCGTTATTCTTGTGAGATCAACCACCGCCTAATGCAAAAGTTGTCTCCTTATTCTAAGCAATTCAACTCTGTAAAATAAAGAAAGGCTTCTTGCGCTTCTATAAAATGCAAAAATTTGTAACGTTCTTTGTTAAAGATGCAACCATCCTTTTTATTTTTTGTTGATATTAAGTAGCATACACAGATTTGTTCTTATGCATTAAACTTCCAACCGAAAATATTTTATGATATCTATAACGATAATATAGAAAATACCCTTTAACTTATCATTTGCTATCCACCTTTTATCCTCTATCTTTTTTCGATTAAAAATGCAGGCAATGAGTGCCTTTTCTCCACCAGTAATATATGTTGCACACACATTAAATAATAGTTTGCTTTACATTTGGGAACCTTTCTACTATTGCAGGAAATTCACCATGGATTAAATTTCTCTTCTGATGAAGATGATGATGAATTTGGAATTTTCTCTATCAAGTTTTCAACGGATGGGAAAGAGCTTGTGGCTGGAACTAGTGACAGCTCAATATGTGTATATGATCTTGGAGCAGATAAGCTTAGCCTTAGAATTCCTGCTCATCAGGTATTATATACTATTTGGTATAACTAGTTGCTAATTTTGAATAATTAACAATAAAATTGAAATATGAAAGGATAGTGATTAAAAGTTGGCTGACTGCTTAACATCTGAATAATAACTGACACTAAATTTAGATATTTTCCCCTGAACCAGTCAAAACTAGTCATGGTCCATTTTGGAATAGAGTTGGGAGTTTTAGGAAGGCAACCAAATTTTTAGCCCGAGAATACTCTGCCTTTTCCTTTATCTTTGTAGAATTTACAATCATTGTAGTACATTGAATCAAGGTGGACCTTTATCTGTGAGCATGGAAGTGGATCATATCTGATGTGCCTTTTCTTGTTGCAGTCTGATGTTAACACCGTCTGCTTTGCTGATGAATCTGGACATCTAATATATTCTGGAAGTGATGATAGTTTCTGCAAGGTAATATTCATATTATTTAGTTAATGAATTTGACAATTTCTGCTGATTTCTTTGTTGGCAGTGATATTTTTGTTTACAGCATGCTTTTATTCCATTATTGGTGAGTTAAGTTTATAGTACCTATCACACCCTTAGAGCCACTATTAGGACTGATTTGGAAAAGTTTCTCCATAAGGACCTTTAGGAGAGAAAAATATGAAGTAAAAAAAGGTTTTTGGAGAAGCTATGGGAGCGTTTACAAATTAGCTTGTGGATAAATTACTTTTAACTTGTGGAAAAGTCGATTTCAATTTTTTCTTCGCGTTTTTTCTCTCCTAGAAGTCTTTA